ACTACACCCACCTACAGCATTCCTGACAGAATCACACACCTTCAAGAATGGAATCAGCAGGAGCCGCAGCAGCCCAGGCGACGCTGGAGGAAAAGGTCCGTGAACAGAGTGACCAGATCCTGCAGATGGGGTCCGCACTGCAGGAGGTGATCACCACCATCCAAGGCTGGGGGACTCCTCCACCACCATCCTCTCTGCCAGCACCATCGGCAAGTCAGCCCATTCCCGCTCCGGAACCCAGAGGAGTTCGACTCTCGCTCCCGAGGGCCTACGATGGGACCGCGGCCGGGTGTCAGGGATAGTCTTTTGGACTATACTTCGGTGTCCTGCGCTTGATTCCACCACTACACCCACCTACAGCATTCCTGACAGGTGGCCGGTTTTCCCTTCGCCTTAAGCTCACCAGGATCCACCCTCTCTTGTCTCTGTACCACTGGCGTTTCCTCTTGGGTAGCCTGAAAATTGGGTTGGAATTACAGAGAGAGCCCAGGGCAGATTAGTCGAAGTAGAAGCCGGAACTGGGGTAAGTAACTGCCGATCTAATGTTCAAGAGGTCTTGTCGGTTGTAAGAAATAATAGAGGATACATTTCGGGAAAATAAAGTAAAAATAAAGGATAAAATAATCACAAAATAGCAAAGTTGGATCACAGCAAACCGGCTGCCATACAGTACGGCGCCATCTTGGTTTTTCCTTTACATGGCATAGAAATATTGTTGCCTGAGATTAACCTTGTTGAGGTTCTTTATGAGAGGAACTGCTACCTCCCTCTCTCTCTCTCTCTCTCTCTCTCCTCTCTCTCTCTCTCTCTTTCTCTCTCTTACACACACACACACACACACACACACACACACACACACACACACACACACACACACACACCATATTTATCACTACCATTGATTATGTCCTGACTCCCTCTCACCCTCAGCACATATTAATATGGACAAAGTCACCATGTAAACTTATCACAGTGATGAATGACTCCACACCCCCCTCTTCTAACACACACACACACACACACACACACACACACACACACACACACACACACACACACACACACACACACACACACACACACACACACACACACACGATTACAAAGCAAATCCCCTAATGCCCTACACAGTGTTAAATCATCATATTGATGGATGTGTTTTTTGGCTGTGCTCCACCTATGGTAGTGTGTTCCCCTCGCTCTGATAAACTGATTAAACAAGGTTTATCACGGTTACCACAGTGATTACAACACACTAATGAAAAATGACAATACACACACGAACACACATGCACACACACACACACACACAGACGAATAACACACACACACAGACAACACACACACACACATGCGCGCACACACACACACACACACACACACACACACACACACACACACACACACACACACACACACAACACAACACACACATGCACACACATCCCATATTTCTTTAATTACTGGAGCTGGCTGGTAAGTGACAGGGAGTATTTTTTGTCTTAATTAATGAGTGTGGTATTCCTTCATCTTTGAGAGAGAGAGGCCAGAGACAGAGAGAGAGAGAGTTCCTTTAGAAACTGGTCTGTTGGTGTCAGTACTGGTGTTAGGTTTAGGGTGTCAGTACTGGTGTTTGGGTTAGGGTGTCAGTCCTGGAGTTAGGTTTAGGGTGTCAGTACTGGTGTTAAGGTTAGGGTGTCAGTACCGGTGTTAGGGTTTAGGGTGTCAGTACCGGTGTTATGTTTAGGGTGTCAGTACCGGTGTTAGGTTTAGTGTGTCAGTACTGATGTTAGGGTTAGGGTGTCAGTACCGGTGTTATGGTTAGGGTGTCAGTACCGGTGTTAGGTTTTAGGGTGTCAGTACTGGTGTTAAGGTTAGGGTGTCAGTACTGGTGTTAGGTTTAAGGTGTCAGTACTGGTGTTAGGGTTAGGGTGTCAGTACCGGTGTTAGGATTAGGGTGTCAGTACCGGTGTTAGGATTAGGGTGTCAGTACTGGTGTTAGGTTTGGGTGTCAGTACTGGTGTTAGGTTTGGGTGTCAGTACTGGTGTTAGGTGTAGGGTGTCAGTACTGGTGTTAAGGTTAGGGTGTCAGTACCGGTGTTAGGGTTTAGGGTGTCAATACCGGTGTTATGGTTAGGGTGTCAGTACTGGTGTTATGGTTAGGGTGTCAGTACTGGTGTTAAGGTTAGGGTGTCAGTACTGGTGTTAGGATTAGGATGTCAGTACTGGTGTTAGGTTTAGGGTGTCAGTACTGGTGTTAGGTTTAGTGTGTCAGTGCCGGTGTTATGGTTAAGGTGTTAGTACCGGTGTTATGGTTAGGGTGTCAGTACTGGTGTTAGGATTGGGTGTCAGTACTGGTGTTAGGGTTAGGGTGTCAGTACTGGTGTTAGGGTTAGGGTGTCATTACTGGTGTTAGGTTTAGGGTGTCAGTACTGGTGTTAGGGTTAGGGTGTCAGTGCCGGTGTTAGGATTAGGGTGTCAGTACTGGTGTGAGGTTTAGGGTGTCAGTACTTGTGTGAGGGTTAGGGTGTCAGTACTGGTGTGAGGTTTAGGGTGTCAGTACTGGTGTTAGGTTTAGGGTGTCAGTACTGGTGTTAGGATTAGGGTTACAGTAATGTTGTTAGGAATAGGGTGCCAGTACTGGTGTTAGGATTAGGGTGTCGGTACCTGGTGTTAGGATTAGGGTGTCAGTACTGGTGTTAGGTTAGGGTGTCAGTACCGGTGTTAGGATTAGGGTGTCAGTACCGGTGTTAGGGTTAGGGTGTCAGTACCAGTGTTAGGGTTAGGGTGTCAGTACCGGTGTTAGGCTTAGGGTGTCAGTATTGGTGTTAGGCTTAGGGTGTCAGTACTGGTGTTAGGCTTAGGGTGTCAGTACTGGTGTTAGGTTTAGGGTGTCAGTACTGGTGTTAGGTTTAGGGTGTCTGTACTGGTGTTAGGTTTAGGGTGTCAGTACCTGGCAGCGGTGTTGAAGAGAGGAAAAAGGGAAGCCCTGTTGTTATTGTAATGTATTTCTCTGTGGATTTTACAGCATTCTACGTCAATTTTCTGCCCTTGTCCCCTCTTCACACACTCTCCTTCCAGTGAGGATGTGACTGAGGGCTAACGCTGGGGCTTAGGGACTGACTCAGGGTCAAAAGGTCAGAGGTTGAAAGCAGAGGTCAGGGGGTGATGGCGACAGACGGGTTAGGGCTGGGCAACTGAGGGTTGATGTGTGGGATGGGAATGAGGGGTATGGGTAGAGTTGCAAAATTACAGACACTTTAAATAAATTCCCTGGATTTCTTGCTTATTCCATCCGAATTCCAGAATTCCTCCAACCGGGATTTCCGGAAAACCAGGGAATTTATTGATGGTTCCCGGAATTTTGCAACCCTAGGTATGGGGGATGTGGGAGTTTGTTAGGGGGAGTTTAGGAAGCTGACTTCTCTGTAGATCCTGACTTCAGCAGATCAGTGTTCTCTTTCTCTCAGGTTTCACATTACAAATCCTATCTTCCCCTCCTCCTGTCATGCTCCTCCTTTCCTCCACTCATTCCCTGCTTTATCCTCTCCTCTCCCTTCTCCCTTTACTCCGCTCCTTCCCCAACTCTGTCTCCCTTCCTTCCTTCCTTCCTTCCTTCCTTCCTTCCTTCCTTCCTTCCTTCCTTCCTTCCTTCCTTCCTTCCTTCCTTCCTTCCTTCCTTCCTCCTCATTCCTCCATCCCTCCCTCCCTCCCTTCCAAGAGAGGAGGTGGAGAGAAAGAGAAAAAGGGTAGTGGAGCAGTGGTGTTCAATAGAGGTGTTTATCCATCCAGTCCTGGAGCAAGGAGTAGTGGTGTTCAATAGAGGTGTTAATCCATGCAGCCCTGGAGCAGGGAACAGTGGTGTTCAATAGAGGTGTTTATCCGTCCAGCCCTGGAGCAGGTAGCAGTGGTGTTCAATAGAGGCTGTAGTGGAACAGTTTGAGAACTTCAAGTTTCTTGGTGTTTACATCACCAACCAACTATCATGGTCCAAACACACCAAGACAGTTGTGAAGAGGGCACGATAAAACCTATTCCCTTTCAGGAGACTGAATAGATTTGGTATGGGTCCTCATTTCCTCAAAAAGTTATACAGCTGCACCATCGAGAGCATCCTGACTGATTGCATCACCGCCTGGTATGGCAACTGCTCGGCCGCCGACCGCAAGGCACAACAGAGGGTAGTGTTTACAGCCCAGTACATCACTGGGGCCAAGCTTCCTGCCATCCAGGACCTCTATACCAGGCGGTGTCAGAGGAAGGCCCTACAAATTGTCAATGTCTCCAGCCACCCTAGTCATAGACTGTTCTCTCTGCTACCGCACGGCAAGCAGTACCGGAGCGCCAAGTCTAGGTCCAAAAGGCTTCTTAACAGCTTCTACCCCCAAGCCATAAGACTCCTGAACAGCTAATCATGGCTACCTGGACTATTTGCAGGTCAAAGGACAGACTCTCCATGAGTTTGCCTCGTCTCTCTCTCTCTCTCTCTCTCTCTCTCTCTCTCTCTCTCTCTCTCTCTTTTGCTCCCTCCAATTCTCACCCTCCTGCCACCCTCTCTCTCTCTGTTTTTCTTCAGTAGCTGTCTTGCAATCTATTCGTCCCTTTTTCTTGTGGTTATTCAGCAGGGTCTCATATTCACACTCCTCTTAGTTATTTCAGAGTTGACCGACAGAAGGCTTTCTGTTCCAAACACAGCGTCCGCACGGGAAAGGAACCCCCCCTCTCTTTCTACTCATCAAAGGCTAGAGAGAGAGAAGGGGAAAAAATGAGAGAGAAAGCAGAAGAGCTGTTGGGAGAGGGATAGAGAGCAGAAAGACTAGAGATGACCTGTTACCGTGTCTTTCATCTTCTTTGGGTTTTTTGTTTGTTTCTAAAAATCCAACTCTTTCTTCTTCGTGTGTTTGTCTCACCATCTTTTCTAAAATCCAACTCTCTCTTCTTTGTGTGTTTGTCTCACCATCTTTTCTAAAATCCAACTCGCTCTTCTTCGTGTGTTTCAGGGCGGAGGATGATGAAGCAGAAGGGGGCGGAGAGAAGCGGAGGAAGAGGATGACCAATCATGGCTTCCTCACAAGGAGGAGAGGTCGTCCCAGCCTGAGCTCCCGACTAGCACGGAGGGTGACCCAGCTGAAGCAGAAGGTTGTGGCCCAGAGAAGTGCACCGTCAGGGGGCATGCATTGCCGTAGACGGGACCCTAGACCTGGAGTCCATGCAAACTGCAGAGAGAGTGACACAGGTAAAACACACACACACAGGCATGCACACACACAAACACACACACGCACGTAAACCTTGTACCACATACACTCCCTGACACTAACACACCCATCTCTCCATGTTCACCCAGCAGCCAATACATCCAGTACCCAGCAGGACTGGGCGCCCAATCAGGGGGTGAGGAGGAGGAGGAGAGGTCGGCCAAAGGTCAAACTCTGCGGACCTTCGACCAGAGTCCTCCGCAGAGGAGGCGGGGCCTCTGTGGAGCAGGAAATGAACGAGGGGAAGAGCAACAGTGAGAGCTCAGGCCAGGGTAAGATACGTCTCAGTGGGATGTTTCCCAGCTGTGTGTGTGTGTGTGTTAGAGAGTGAGATGTCTCCCAGCTGTGTGTGTGTGTGTGTTAGAGAGTGAGATGTCTTCCATCACGGTGGCCTCCTCTCACTTCCCGGCTCGTCTGTCACACCATTAAAACCGTTAACGGCTGCCCACTGGCATGCGGCCCCCAAAACCACGCCGTAACGTGAACCCCAATATCGCCTCTTTTAGAATGTCACACCCCTGTTGCCCCTCCTGCACCCCCTCAACCCAACCAGTAGAGACGCAATGTCCCCCCTTCCCCAATAATCTCAAATTAAAATTTCATAGAAATGAAGTCAATAACTTATTGAAGTGGCCCTATTGTGTAGGTCCTGTGTGTGTGTGTGTGTGTGTGTGTGTGTGTGAGAGAGAGTGTTGACGAGAACGCTGTGTAAATGACAAGTGTGTCAGCGATGTCTCGACACCCGACACGACCCCTGTAGTCAGCCACATACAGCTGCCAATAAAGATCTGATCTGTGTTTGTGTGTGAGTTTGTGTGTGTGTGTGCGTGCTTTCATGCGTGTGTGCGTGATTGAGTGTGTGTGCATGCATTTGTGTGTGTGTGGTGCTGATGTTTGTCTGTGCATGAGAAAGACAGGACCATTGGGTTTCCTTGACCACAGTTATTGAAAAGGCCATGCATTTCTGGATGGCCAACTGACCATAGGAGTGTGTTTTACAGTATATATATGTACTGTTTGTGTAGTGTCTTCACTGCCTATCTGTGCTGTGTGAGTTTGTTGCCTAAAGGCTAAAGGCCACTGAGTTATTTTACGATATAGCTGCTCTACACTGTCATCCAATGGAGCCTGAGATTGAGATGGTCGTGTCACAACTGATCTCAAGACAATTTCTAATGGATGTTATTGATCACTTGATCCCACAGAGGAGGAAGAGGAGATGCACTACGACAGCAACGAAGGAACCAATGACGTGAATACAATGACACCATCTTCCAAAGACACGCCAACAGACTCTGCTGCGATTGGCCCAGCTGCTAAGCTTCAAGACAATCAGAAAGCCAGGAGCAAGGAGGAGAGGCAAGGTGATGATGTGAGCATGCCCAGTGTGGCGCTGAGGAGGAGAGGAGCCCCCTGCAGGCCGGGCCCTGTTACTGCAGATGGGAGATGCCCAGAGCTCCAGGAGCCACAGGGGGCTAGGAGAGAACCTGTACCCAGCTGGAGGGTCTCGTTAGTGGGCAACAGTCTCCAGGACAGCAGGGGGATCCAGGGACCTGTGGTGGAGGCCAAGAGGAAGAGCTCAGGACAACAAAGCATTCTGGGAAAGGTGAGGGGGGGAATGGGAGGACCTGTGGGGGGGGGGGGGGGGGGGGGGGGGGGGTTCAGTCTCTAGGTTAATCAAAAACAGCTTCCTCTGTTAAAATCTCCCTCAACTACTTGAGACAGTTAAGATGCACGTGTTACGGTGTCTCCCTAGCTACATGGTGATCATGATCATTGTCTATAATGCTAACCTGTCCTGTGTGGTTGTTTCGATCCCCGGGACCACCCATACACAAAAATGTATGCACGCATGACTGTAAGTCGCTTTGGATAAAAGCGTCTGCTAAATGGCATATTATTATTATTATTATTCCAGAGGAGAGACTGCTGGCTGGAGACTGAGACCCAGAGAGAGGACACCACCAGGGGCAGGAGGAACAAGAAGAAGCAGGTGAGGATGGGGGTCAGAATGGGCATGGTGGAGGGGGGAAGGAGGGATAGGTGCAAACAGAAAGAGGCAGTGTGGAACAGGAAATGGCAGTTGGTGGAGAGGTAGAATCCTGAGTAGAAAGAACAGGTAGAGTACAGTAGAAGAGAGAGGTAGAGGAATGAGGAGTTGGAGTGACTAAAGGGCATTCAGATCCGTGACAGTTGGAAAAGTGATGATGTTAGGCAGCTGGAAGAATGAGGAGAAGCTACAGTGGGGAAAAAAAGTATTTAGTCAGCCACCAATTGTGCAAGTTCTCCCACTTAAAAAGATGAGAGAGGCCTGTAATTTTCATCATAGGTACACGTCAACTATGACAGACAAAATGAGAAAAAATCACATTGTAGGATTTTTAATGAATTTATTTGCAAATTATGGTGGAAAATAAGTATTTGGTCAATAACAAAAGTTTCTCAATACTTTGTTATATACCCTTTGTTGGCAATGACACAGGTCAAACGTTTTCTGTATGTCTTCACAAGGTTTTCACACACTGTTGCTGGTATTTTGGCCCATTCCTCCATGCAGATCTCCTCTAGAGCAGTGATGTTTTGGGGCTGTCGCTGGGCAACACGGACTTTCAACTCCCTCCAAAGATTTTCTATGGGGTTGAGATCTGGAGACTGGCTAGGCCACTCCAGGACCTTGAAATGCTTCTTACGAAGCCACTCCTTCGTTGCCCGGGCGGTGTGTTTGGGATCATTGTCATGCTGAAAGACCCAGCCACGTTTCATCTTCAATGCCCTTGCTGATGGAAGGAGGTTTTCACTCAAAATCTCACGATACATGGCCCCATTCATTCTTTCCTTTACACGGATCAGTCGTCCTGGTCCCTTTGCAGAAAAACAGCCCCAAGGCATGATGTTTCCACCCCCATGCTTCACAGTAGGTATGGTGTTCTTTGGATGCAACTCAGCATTCTTTGTCCTCCAAACACGACGAGTTGAGTTTTTACCAAAAAGTTATATTTTGGTTTCATCTGACCATATGACATTCTCCCAATCCTCTTCTGGATCATCCAAATGCACTCTAGCAAACTTCAGACGGGCCTGGACATGTACTGGCTTAAGCAGGGGGACACGTCTGGCACTGCAGGATTTGAGTCCCTGGCGGCGTAGTGTGTTACTGATGGTAGGCTTTGTTACTTTGGTCCCAGCTCTCTGCAGGTCATTCACTAGGTCCCCCCGTGTGGTTCTGGGATTTTTGCTCACCGTTCTTGTGATCATTTTGACCCCACGGGGTGAGATCTTGCGTGGAGCCCCAGATCGAGGGAGATTATCAGTGGTCTTGTATGTCTTCCATTTCCTAATAATTGCTCCCACAGTTGATTTCTTCAAACCAAGCTGCTTACCTATTGCAGATTCAGTCTTCCCAGCCTGGTGCAGGTCTACAATTTTGTTTCTGGTGTCCTTTGACAGCTCTTTGGTCTTGGCCATAGTGGAGTTTGGAGTGTGACTGTTTGAGGTTGTGGACTGGTGTCTTTTCTACTGATAACAAGTTCAAACAGGTGCCATTAATACAGGTAACGAGTGGAGGACAGAGGAGTCTCTTAAAGAAGAAGTTACAGGTCTGTGAGAGCCAGAAATCTTGCTTGTTTGTAGGTGACCAAATACTTATTTTCCACCATATAATTTGCAAATAAATTCATTAAAAATCCTACAATGTGATTTTCTGGATTATTTTTCTCAATTTGTCTGTCATAGTTGACGTGTACCTATGATGAAAATTACAGGCCTCTCTCATCTTTTTAAGTGGGAGAACCTGCACAATTGGTGGCTGACTAAATACTTTTTTTCCCCACTGTATATATAACCTAACTGGAAAGGTAATAGAAATGTGCTTTTGGCGAGATTCCTTGCCAGCACCCATAAAAGTCTGAAGCTATGGCGTGACCTATCTTATCAAAGGGTTTATTAGCTAACTCTGCATGGGCGGATCAGTTTAAAACAACCGTGATCAGCTGGTGAGATATACGGCCGTTGAATAAGGCTGATAGCATGTGTGAGTTGCCTAAACAACAGTCTAATGTGTTCTGGTGAGAACAGCCCTGAGGTGGGACTACATTTACATTACATTTACGTCATTTAGCAGACGCTCTTATACAGAGCGACTTACAAATAGGTGCATTCACCTTATAGCCAGTGGGATCACCACTTTACAATGTTTTTTTTTGTTTTTTTGTTTTTGGGTTGGGGTTTGGGTTGGGGTAAGGGGGGGGGGGGGGGGGGGGGTAGAAGGATTACTTTATCCTATCCCAGGTATTCCTTAAAGAGGTGGGGTTTCAAATGTCTCCGGAAGGTGGTGTGTGACTCCGCTGTCCTGGCGTCGTGAGGGAGCTTGTTCCACCATTGGGGTGCCAGAACAGCGAACAGTTTTGACTGGGCTGAGCGGGAACTATGCTTCCGCAGAGGTAGGGGAGCCAGCAGGCCAGAGGTGGATGAACGCAATGCCCTCGTTTGGGTGTAGGGACTGATCAGAGCCTGAAGGTACGGAGTGCCGTTCCCCTCACAGCTTCGTAGGCAAGCACCATGGTCTTGTAGCAGAACACCAGTCTAATGTGTTCTGGTGAGAACAGCCCTGAGGTGGGACTAAACACCAGTCTAATGTGTTCTGGTGATAACAGCCCTGAGGTGGGGCTAAACACCAGTCTAATGGGTTCTGGGTTGAGAACAGCCCCTGAGGTGTGGACTAAACACCAGTCTAGTGTGTTCTGGTGAGAACAGCCCTGAGGTGGGACTAAACACCAGTCTAATGTGTTCTGGGTGAGAACACCCTGAGGTGGGACTAAACACCAGTCTAATGTGTTCTGGTGAGAAACAGCCCTGAGGTGGGACTAAACACCAGTCTAATGTGTTCTGGTGAGAACCGCCCCGAGGGGGGATAAAAATCAGTCAGGTTTGGGGATAACACCCTGGGTTTTATAAAACCAGTCAATGTGTTCTGGTGGAAAAACCCCCAGGGGGGACCAAAAAAAACCGTCTAGTGGGTTTTTGGTGAGAAAGCCCGAGGTGGGACTAAACACCATCTAGTTGTTTTGCGGAAAGCCCTTTGGGGGATAAAAAACCCCGCTAAAGGGTTTGGTGAGAACAGCCCGAGGTGGGACAAACACCAGTCTAGTGTGTTGTGGTGAGAACAACCCTGAGGTGGGACTAAACACCAGTCTATTTGGTGTTCTGGTGAGAACACCCCTGAGGTGGGACTAAACACCAGTCTAATGTGTTTGGTGAGAACAGCCCTGAGGTGGGAAAAATTTTTTTTTAAAAACACCCCAAAAGGGTTTCTAAAAAAATTGGTGTTTTCCCTGGGGAAAAAAAAGGGGGAAACCCGGGGGGGCCCCCGGGGGGGGGGGAAAAAAGGTGGGGAAAAAAAAAACCCAGTCTTGTTTTTGGGGGGGAAAAAGCCCTGGGGTGGGACTAAACACCAGCAAATGTGTTTGTTATTACAGCACTAAACACCAGAGTGGTTCTGGTGAGAACCCCCTGAGGGGGATAAACCCAGTCTAGTGGTTTGGTAAAAAACCCCTGGGGGGGCTAAAACCAGTCTTGTTTTTGGGTGGAACAGCCTGAGGTGGGACAACCCCAGCTGGGTTTTTTGGGTGGAACACCGGGTGGGACTAAACCCCGTCTAGTGGTTTTGGGAAAAAACCCTGGGTGGGTAAACCCCAGTTTATGGTTCTGGTGGAACACCCCGGGGTGGGAAAAACACCAGTTATGTGTTTGGTGAGAACAGCCTGGGGTGGGACAAAACCCAGTCTTGTTTTGTGGGAAACAGCCTGGGGGGTAAACCCCAGCTAGTGTTTTTGGTGAAACAGCCCGGGTGGGAAAACCCCAGTCTAAGTGTTTTGGTGAAAAACCCCCCTGAGGGGGGGACCTAAACACCAGTCTAGTGTGTTGTGGTGAGAACAGCCCTGAGGTGGGACTAAACACCAGTCTAATGTGTTCTGGTGAGAACAGCCCTGAGGTGGGGCTAAACACCAGTCTAATGTGTTCTGGTGAGAACAGCCCTGAGGTGAGACTAAACACCAGTCTATTGTGTTCTGGTGAGAACAGCTCTGAGGTGGGCCTAGACACCAGTCTAGTGTGTTCTGGTGAGAACAGCCCTGAGGTGGGACTACACACCAGTCTAATGTGTTCTGGTGAGAACAGCCCTGAGGTGGGACTAAACACCAGTCTAGTGTGTTCTGGTGAGAACAGCCCTGAGGTGGGACTAAACACCAGTCTAATGTGTTCTGGTGAGAACAGCCCTGAGGTGGGACTAAACACCAGTCTAATGTGTTCTGGTGAGAACAGCCCTGAGGTGAGACAAAACACCAGTCTAGTGTGTTGTGGTGAGAACAGCCCTGAGGTGGGATTTAAACACCAGTCTAATGTGAAATGCTTACTTACAGCACTAAACACCAGTCTAGTGTGTTCTGGTGAGAACAGCCCTGAGGTGGGACTAAACACCAGTCTAGTGTGTTCTGGTGAGAACAGCCCTGAGGTGGGCCTAAACACCAGTCTAGTGTGTTCTGGTGAGAACAGCCCTGAGGTGGGACTAGACACCAGTCTAGTGTGTTCTGGTGAGAACAGCCCTGAGGTGGGACTAAACACCAGTCTAGTGTGTTCTGGTGAGAACAGCCCTGAGGTGGGGCTAAACACCAGTCTAATGTGTTCTGGTGAGAACAGCCCTAAGGTGGGACTAAACACCAGTCTAGTGTGTTCTGGTGAGAACAGCCCTGAGGTGGGACTAAACACCAGTCTAGTGTGTTCTGGTGAGAACAGCCCTGAGGTGGGACTAAACACCAGTCTAGTGTGTTCTGGTGAGAACAGCCCTGAGGTGGGGCTAAACACCAGTCTAATGTGTTCTGGTGAGAACAGCCCTAAGGTGGGACTAAACACCAGTCTAGTGTGTTCTGGTGAGAACAGCCCTGAGGTGGGACTAAACACCAGTCTAGTGTGTTCTGGTGAGAACAGCCCTGAGGTGGGACTAAACACCAGTCTAGTGTGTTCTGGTGAGAACAGCCCTGAGGTGGGGCTAAACACCAGTCTAATGTGTTCTGGTGAGAACAGCCCTGAGGTGGGGCTAAACACCAGTCTAGTGTGTTCTGGTGAGAACAGTCCTGAGGTGGGACTTAACACCAGTCTAGTGTGTTCCGGTGAGAACAGCCCTGAGGTGGAACTAAACACCAGTCTAATGTGTTCTGGTGATAACAGCCCTGAGGTGGGACTAAACACCAGTCTAATGTGTTCTGGTGAGAACAGCCCTGAGGTGGGCCTAAACACCAGTCTAGTGTGTTCTGGTGAGAACAGCCCTGAGGTGGGACTAAACACCAGTCTAGGGTGTTCTGGTGAGAACAGCCCTGAGGTGGGACTAAACACCAGTCTAGTGTGTTCTGGTGAGAACAGCCCTGAGCTGGGACTAAACACCAGTCTAGTGTGTTCTAGTGAGAACAGCCCTGAGGTGGGACTAAACACCAGTCTAGTGTGTTCTGGTGAGAACAGCCCTGTGGTGGGACTAAACACAGAACAAAAACACAAATCTATACACACACACACTTACTAAACAAACACACGCACGCACACACCCAGAGAGGTGAGTAATCTTCCATACCCTCTGGTGACGAAACCTCTGTCACTGTAATATATGGTCCCTTCATGTGGAACACTCCCATACACACACACTCTTTGGAAAGCCCAGATACAGGCAGAAACCTGTCGAACAGGCTGATTTTGCAGCTCCATCATCAGTCATCATTCATCATTAGGAAACCAGCTCAAACCAGAATGGGACAGGATCTGTTTGTGTGTGCGCTTTTTGAGGTCGGTTCAGTTTCAGTTAAATTATTTTAAAAATATATAATTTTTAAAAACATTAAATGCACTATGCATTATGTGGGTTGAATGCAGTAACAACACAGAATACAACAATTAATAAAAGTTCCATGATGGTAGTGACTTCCCATGACTGATTATCACTTATTAACTATTGTCAAGTACGTTAAGGAACGGGACGGACCAAGGTGCAGTGTGAACGGCGAACATGTTTATTAACTAATAAACACGAGAAACAGTAACCAAAACAACAAACTTAACCGTGACGGTCCAAAGGCTAACACACAAACCTAAACATGAACATAACCAAATCCCACAACGCAGGCAGGAAAACTGGCTGCCTAAGTATGATCCCCAATCATAGACAACGAGCGACAGCTGCCTCTGATTGGGAACCACACCCGGCCAAACATAACCTAGAACATAACCTAGAATATATTCACACCCTGACCAAACTAGCTAGAGTTCTATAGGCCAGGGCGTGACAACCATCATTTATTCACATTACTTTACTTTAATAAAATATATCAGTTGTTGTCTATATTACGTTTGTTTTATTTGATGACTTTATTATTTTACTCCAAGTCATCATCTCATCTCTATAGAGCTGCTGCCTATGCTGTCTGACAAAATCACTATTTTAGTAGTGCTTCAAAGTAAATATAACTGTTGAATACCAACTATCAATCACTTAGATCATGTATTTTCAGGTAGAGATAGCTCGCGAAGCAACAGCTGCTCTCTATATCAGCTCACATCACTCATTCTTCTGTAGCAGGCGTAAAAGAAACACAGACCGGAGTAGAAGCACAATGGATTATGGTCATTGTAGTTAATTACCACGTTTTCTGCGCAAAACTATGTAGAATATTGGCCTGTTGGAAACTACAACTCCCTAGTACATCGCACAGTTCAGGCTGGATCTGATTTATCTCTAGAGAAACTGTGCAATGTGCGCATTTAGCAACAACAACAAAAACTACATATGAAATTACATTAAAATAATTGAACCTGCGTTGGGCAATTAGTTGTAAAAAAAACACAAAAAAAGAAAATGTCGGTTAATCGCTCAGCACTAGTGTCTGTGTGTGTGCGTGCGTGCATGTGTGCGTCGGTGAAGAGGTGTTTGTGTGTGTTGAAAGAAAGGGGTAGTTCTGACAGCGGTGTTACAGGGTGTGCAGGCTTTTGTTCTAGGCCTGCACTAGATTCATAATTAGTGCTGCAATGGAACAAAAGCATGCACACCCTGTAGCTGTCCAGGACCTGGGAGGGTGACCACTAGTTTAGGAGTTTAAATAGATATATATTCTAATGATGTCATTTTCTGTTTCCTGTTGCAGGCTAAGGGGTGTGCAGTGAGCCGTCTTCTGGAGAGCTTTGCGGCTGATGAAGGATTCCGATTGGACGAGGAGAGCAGCTTCTCAGAGGGAGAGGAGGAAGACATGGAGCATACACCTCACACACACAGAGAACCAGGTGAGAATACACACACCACAGACTCACAGACTCACAGACTCACAGGGTTGCATGACAGGCTAAATTTTCATATTCTCTCTCTCTCCTTCTCCCTCCCTCTCTCTCTCTGCAGCACTGCTTAACTGTGTGCTGAGCAGGGAGATGCTGGTGGATGGTCTGAAGGTGTTGATATCGAAGGAGGATGAGCTGCTGTATGCTGCCCGACTACACACTCTGGACCTGCCTGACATGTAAGGCACTGACACTTACTCACACCTATTCATATGGCCTACTTAATCACAGAGAGACATTTGGCAAATCTGACCATAACTCTATCCTCCTGATTCCTGCTTATAAGCAAAAACTGAAGCAGGAAGCACCAGTGATTCGGCTAATAAAAAAGTGGTCAGATGACGCAGATGCTAAGCTACAGGACTGTTTTGCTAGCACAGACTGGAACATGTTCCGGGATTCTTCAGACAGCATTGAGGAGTACACCACATCAGTCACTGGCTTCATCAATAAGTGCATCGATGATGTCGTCCCCACAGTGACCGTACGTACATACCCCAACCAGAAGCCATGGATTACAGGAAACATCCGCACTGAGCTAAAGGGTAGAGCTGCCGCTTTCAAGGAACGGGACTCTAACCCGGACGCTTATAAGAAATCCCGCTATGACCTCCGACGAACCATCAAACAGGCAAAGAGTCAATACAGGTCTAAGATTGAATCATACTACACTGGCTCTGACGCTCGTCGGATGTGGCAGGGCTTGAAAACTATTACAGACTACAAAGGGAAGCACAGCCGCGAGCTGCCCAGTGACACAAGCCTACCAGACGAGCTAAACCACTTCTATGCTCGCTTCGAGGCAAGCAACACTGAAGCATGCATGAGAGCACCAGCTGTTCCGGACGACTATGTGATCACGCTCTCCGTAGCCGATGTGAGTAAGACTTTTAAGCAGGTCAACATTCACAAGGCCGCAGGGCCAGACGGATTACCAGGACGTGTACTCCGAGCATGTGCTGACCAACTGGCAAGTGTCTTCACTGACATTTTCAACATGTCCCTGACTGAGTCTGTAATACCAACATGTTTCAAGCAGACCACCATAGTCCCCGTGCCCAAGAACGCTAAGATAACCTGCCTAAATGACTACCGACCCGTGGCACTGACGTCTGTAGCCATGAAGTGCTTTGAAAGACTGGTCATGGCTCACATCAACAGCATAATCCCAGAAACCCTAGACCCACTCCAATTTGCATACCGCCCCAACAGATCCACAGATGATGCAATCTCTATCGCACTCCACACTGCCCTTTCCCACCTGGACAAGAGGAACACCTACGTGAGAATGCTATTCATTGACTACAGCTCAGCATTCAACACCATAGTGCCCTCAAAGCTCATCACTAAGCTAAGGATCCTGGGAATAAACACCTCCCTCTGCAACTGGATCCTGGACTTCCTGACGGGCCGCCCCCAGGTGGTAAGGGTAGGTAACAACACATCTGCCACACTGATCCTCAACACGGGGGCCCCTCAGGGGTGCGTGCTCAGTCCCCTCCTGTACTCTCTGTTCACCCATGACTGCATGGCCAGGCACGACTCCAACACCATCATTAAGTTTGCCGACGACACAACAGTGGTAGGCCTGATCACCGACAACGATGAGACAGCCTATAGGGAGGAGGTCAGTGATCTGGCCGTGTGGTGCCAGGACAACAACCTCTCCCTCAACGTGACCAAGACAAAGGAGATGATTGTGGACTACAGGAAAAAAAAGAGGACTGAGCACGCCCCCATTCTCATCGACGGGGCTGTAGTGGAACAGGTTGAGAGCTTCAAGTTCCTTGGTGTCCACATCACCAACGAACTATCATGGTCCAAACACACCAAGACAGTCGTGAAGAGGGCACGACAAAGCCTATTCCCCCTCAGGAGACTAAAAAGATTTGGCATGGGTCCTCAGATCCTCAAAAAATTCTACAGCTGCACCATCGAGAGCATCCTGACTGGTTGCATCACCGCCTGGTATGGCAACTGCTTGGCCTCTGACCGCAAGGCACTACAGAGGGTAGTGCGTACGGCCCAGTACATCACTGGGGCAAAGCTCCCTGCCATCCAGGACCTCTATACCAGGCGGTGTCAGAGGAAGGCCCTCAAAATTGTCAAAGACTCCAGTCACCCTAGTCACAGACTGTTCTCTCTGCTACCGCACGGCAAGCGGTACCGGAGTGCCAAGTCTAGGTCCAAAAGACTTCTCAACAGCTTCTACCCCCAAGCCATAAGACTCCTGAACAGCTAATCATGGCTACCCGGACTATTTGCACTGCCCCCCCACCCCATCCTTTTTACGCTGCTGCTACTCTGTTAAGTATTTATGCATAGTCACTTTAACTCTACCCACATGTACATATTACCTCAACTACCTCAACTAGCCGGTGCCCCCGCACATTGACTATGCAACGGTACCCCCCTGTATATATAGCCTCCCTACTGTCACTTTATTCTATTGTATATATAGCCTCCCTACTGTCACTTTATTTTTTACTTCTGCTCTTTTTTTCTCAACACTTTTTTGTTGTTGTTTTATTCTTACTTTTTTGTTTAAAATAAATGCACTGTTGGTTAAGGGCTGTAAGTAAGCATTTCACTGTAATGTCTGCACCTGTTGTATTCGGCGCATGTGACCAATAAAATTTGATTTGATTTGATTTGATTTGATGCAAAGGACTGGCTGAATGACTTGTAATACATTTAATACAATCTCTCTCTCTCTCTCTCTCCCTCCCTCCCTCCCTCCCTCCCTCCCTCCCTCTCCTAGATTCCGTGTAGTGATCGAGGGGGAGAGAGGGAACAGGCCTAGGATCTACACTCTAGAACAGCTATTACAAGAGGCGGTGTTGGACGTGCGGCCACAGACAGAGGCCATCCTGACTGCTGGGATGCGTGTGTGTGCCTACTGGAGCGAACGCTCCCGCTGCCTCTACCCTGGAAACGTCCGCAGAGGGGTTCCGGGCGAGGATGAGAAGGGCAGTGTGATGGTGGAGTTTGATGATGGAGATAGAGGAAGGATCTCCCTGCCCAACATACGCCTGCTGCCCAGGGGGTACCAGATACACTGTGAGTATACTGCACACACACACACACACACACACACACACACACACACACACACACACACACACACACACACACACACACACACACACACACACACACACAGAGTATACATTCCCAGAGGGTAAAGACATGGTCTGTCAACATTAGATCCAGACTCACTCTCTGAGAGCAAAGATTCATTCTCTGTGTCTGTTTTGCCCTACTTCCCTCCCATCTCTCTCTCTCTCACTCCCACTCTCTCACTCCCACTCACTCACTCACTCAGGTGCGGAGCCGTCTCCAGCCCTGCTCTCACCTGGTCGTCGTGGTCACAGAACCTCCACCCAGGACAGTAGAGACAAGCCCACAGAGAGACCAAACAATGAAGAGGTAGAAGGGAGGAGCCTGGAGAGGAGACCAGGTAATGGCTCAGAGCATAATTTCACCGTATTAGATGGTTTCTCCCATTTGTTTGAGATTGAGGCCTACAGCACCAGCGCAGCACCAATGAGATAAGCCTACTGTAGATACCACCACCAGGGTGGGTTGGAACCGGTTCAGGGAACAGAACCAAAACAGAAATGGAATCTGGAACAAAAGTGATCCATATTGTTCCAGAACAGAACCGTTATTTTAAAAGCATGGGAACCGGTTAATAACGTTATTTTACGTTCCAGGCATTTTTTCTAGTCCCACAAATAAACGCAACAAAGCTCCTATGCCAAAGCCCTCTCTCTGTCATTCAGAAACGTATTCCAGTGTCTGCCTGCAAGCTGAAAATCTTTGCCTGTTCATGTTTAGACTACCTGTCCCTCCCCCTCTGAAGTATAGGCTACTGTACTGACATTACAATCGTGATTCAGAAGATAGGGAGAGAGATTTTTTATTAGCTAGAGAAGAATGGATGCTAGTTAAGGATACTATAGGCCTAGTTATTACATTTCACATTGGATTTATTAACTACAAAAAGATAAGACATGTTTTTAATTCTGGTGCAGCTCTGCACACACAAGCTTGTTAGCTATCTAGCTCAAAGTACATTCAAAGTTCTTCCATAGAAGCCGCTCCTCCTAGGTATAATTCTGTGGACCTAATTCAGATAATGCATGTCATAACAAGATGCAAAGCACTTCAAGCCTCCTCCGCCACCCTCTCCTAAATGTAAAAAACTGGTGATTTCACAGGTTAAGAAAGGAAGAGAAAGGAACAATATAAACCGCTACTTCCTTTTGGTTCAAACCGGTTCAGACATTTTTATTTTGCTGGTGGGAAAAGTGGAATGGAACTAAAAAAATTAAGACAAACTGCTATTTCAGCCACACACGTTGCTGACAGGTGTATAAAATCGAGCACACAGCCATGCAATCTCCATAAACAAACATTGGCAGTAGAATGGTCTTACTGAAGAGCTCAGTGACTTTCAACGTGGCACCGTTATAGGATGCCACCTTTCCAGCAAGTCAGTTCATCACATTTCTGCCCTGCTAGAGCTGCCCCGGTCAACTGTAAGTGCTGTTATTGTGAAGTGGAAACATCTAGGAGCAACAATGGCTCAGCTGCAAAGTGGTAGACTACACAAGCTCACAGAACGGGACCGCCGAGTGCTGAAGCGTGTAGCGCATTAAAAATCGTCTGCCTCTGGAAGCAACGTCAGCACAATAACTGTTTGTCGGGAGCTTCATGTCGGGAGCAGCCGCACACAAGCCTAAGATCACAATGCGCAATGCCAAGCATCGGCTGGAGCGATGTAAAGCTTGCCGCCATTGGACTCTGGAGCAGTCGAAACGCGTTCTCTGGAGTGATGAATCACGCTTCACCATCTGGCAGTCCAACGGACAAATCTGAGTTTGGTGGATGCCAGGAGAACGCTACCATAGTGTAAACTGTAAAGTTTGGTGGAGGAGGAATAATGGTCTGGGGCTGTTTTTCATGGTTCGGGCTAGGTCCCTTAGTTCCAGTGAAGGGAAATCTTAACGCTGCAGCATACAATGACATTCTAGACGATTCTGTGCTTCCAACTTTGTGGCAACAATTGGGCGAAGGCCCTTTCCTTGTTTCAGCATGACAATGCCCTTGTGCACAAAGCGAGGTCCATACAGAAATGCTTTGTCAAGATCGGTGTGGAATAACTTGACTGGCCTGCACGGAGCCCTGACATCAACCCCATCGAACTCCTTTGGGATGAATTGGAACGACGACTGCGAGCCAGGCCTAATCGCCCAACATCAGTGTCCGACCTCACTAATGCTCTTGTGGCTGAATGGAAGCAAGTCCCTGCAGCATTGTTCCAACATCTAGTGGAAAGTCCCTGCAGCAATGTTCCAACATCTAGTGGAAAGCCTTCACAGAATAGTAGAGGCTGTTATAGCAGCAAAGGGAGGACCAACTCCATATTAATGCTCATGGACTGAGATGTTCAACGAGCAGGTGTCCACATACTTTTGGTCATATAGTGTATATAACACACATATAGAATATGATTTTATCTCACAACTTCTTCCCTCTCTATGGAATCCCCCTCCAACTGCCTAATATCATCACTGTTCCAACTGTCACTGATCTGAATGTCTTCTAGTCAAACAGCATTCCCATAACTCAACACTCTCCAGTTCCACAGTAAGGGCTGTAATTTATGGATACAAAGAGTTTGTTCTCATTGACTTACCTAGTTTAAAGGAAAGTTTTGGTAGATACATCTTACCTGGTTTAAAGGAAGGTTAGGTAGATACATCTTACCTGGTTTAAAGGAAGGTAGATACATCTTACCTGGTTTAAAGGAAGGTTAGGTAGATACATCTTACCTGGTTTAAAGGAAGGTTAGGTAATAGTAATATAATAATAATAATATGCCATTTAGCAGACGCTTTTATCCAAAGCGACTGATAGTCATGTGTGCATACATTTTTACGTATGGGTGGTCCCGGGGATCGAAGGCGGCGGTA